AGTGGATGAAGACTGCTCAAAATTATTAACAATTATCACTCATAGAGGGTTATACAAATTCAACCAACTTCCTTTCAGCATAAAGGTAGCACCAAGCATATTCCAACATATAATGGATACCATGCTTGCCTGTTTGGATTATGCTCAAGCACATTCAGATGACACACATTAAAAGCAAGATCTAAAAACAACATGCAGAAGATGTAAAAAAAGTATTTGAGAGACTCAAAGAATATGGATTTAAGATTAGTGAAGAACAGTGCAAATTGTTTATGTCCAAACTTAAATATCTAGTACAAATTATTGATGAAAACTGTAGATGACTGGATCCTTCAAGGGTGAGCACAATAAAAGATATGCTCGCTCCAACAAATGTAACAAAGTTACAAGCATTTTTAGGGTTTGCTAATTACTATATATATATATATATATATACCAAACATGCACGAATTAAGAGCACCCTTGAATAATCTGCTAAAGAAAGATGTGAAATGGAATTGAACAGATAAATGCCAAAGTGCTTGAAAGCACGTTGACATTTATCTGTCCAATCCGATGTTAAGACTTTCTTGATCTCTTTTCAAAGAGATCAAGAAAGTCTTAACATCAGATTTGTCACAAGCTGATTTTGACCCTAAATTAAAGATTGTGGTTGTACCAGATGCAAGTGATTCGGATATCAGAGCAGTGATTCTATACATATATGAGGACGGAACAACTAAACCTATAGCTCATGCTTCAAGATCATTGATTGCAGCTGCAAAAAGCTACAGCTGGCTAGAAAAGGAAGCATTGGCCATCATATTTGCCATGAAAAAGTTTCACAAATACATACATGGCAGAGAATTCATACTACAGACAGACCATCATCCATTATTGTCCATATATGGATAAAAAAGGTGTTCCCACACACAGAGAAAATAGACTACAGCACTGGGGAACTATCCTATTGAATTATAATTATAAAATGGAGTTTCAACCATCCAAATAATTAAGTCATGCAGACGGATTATCTAGACTAATACCAAGATTCTGCAAACCACTTAAAGACACAGTAATTGCAGTGATAAGGGCCAAAAATGAAATTAATAATGAAAATGAAGATGCAATTAAAATTTAAAAAAAAAAAATATTATTGGAAATAATTCATTTCCATTATGTAATAAGTAATAATGTACTTATGTACACAGAAAGAATTGTGATACCAGAATCATTGCAAAAACGTATGCTAAAGCAATTTTACCTAGGACATCCAGGAATTTCTAGAATGAAATCCTTAATGAGGTGTTATACTTTATGGTCAAAAATGGATCAAGATATCAAAAATTTATTGAAATCATGCAAAGGTTGTGCTCTGGCAGCAAAGTCACTGCCTATCAAAATTCAACCTTGGCTGAAAACCAATATGCCATGATCCAGAATACATATAAACTTCACAGGACCATTAAACAGAGCATACTCTCTAGTGGTAGTTAATAGTTACACTAAATGGCTAGAAATATTAAAATGTAGAAGGCTGACTATCACGGTAACAATAAATTTCATACACAAGATTTTTGAAAGGTTCAGTGTTCCTGATTTCACATCTAGCGAATTCAATTTTTTTGTAAATGATTAGCAATAGAACATATTACAACTCAAGATCAAATGGACAAACAGAACAGTTTATCAGTATGTTTAAAAGGCCATTAAAAAAGTCAGAGGAAAAGGAGTCAGATGAAGTAAAGCTACAATTTCTGAATGTTTACAGAATAACACCAAACTTGAAAACAGTGTCTAGAATGTTGCCTGCAGAGTTGATGTTCACCAGGAAAATTAAGTCCATTTTTAATAAATTATTACCTGAACACAAAGCAAGAACATCAGCAAATTACAACATGAATAAATACTTCAAACCTGGAGATAAGCTATTTTTTAAAATGTATCAATGTGGAAAGGAATTCTGGGAAGATGGCATTATAAAAAAAACAGATAGGCAAAATGACATACATGGTACATGGACAAAGGTGGAAACATAAGTGACAATCAGTTAGAACAGAGATTCACTGATTTAATAACTCCACGAAAAGCGGTACCAATGGAAATACTGCATGAGATGTTTGACGTACACACGCCACCAGAATTTAGTGAACCAAGAAATTACAGTAAAAGAAAAAGAACAGCATTGACTATTGAACCAAAGCTGAAGAAATATAGACTCTAGAGGAAGTCATCTGAAAGGGGAGGTGTTGTAAAGGTGTTGCTAACGACACTGGAGTTTTGAACATAGATCACCAGAGAGCAAACACAGGCAATCCCATTACTGTATTTTAGAAGATCATGTGACCATAAAGGAAATGCTTATATTGGAATAAGCATGGTGTCTAATTGATCACCATTTCTACTCTATCTTCATCACTATTCTCTTCTCTATACTATTTTTATATACTGATCAGTATACAGATCACTATTCAGTGGTTACTATTGGAGCACGTATTATTGAGCAAGTATTATTAGTGCAAGTGTTATTCAAAGGAATTTGACACCAGTATTGTTCAATGGTGTTACTATAGTTGTATCTGCCATTAAAGTCTCTACTACAACAAGCATTGCTAAAGTGAAAAGTATTCGTTGACATTATAAAAGTGTCAACAAGTGTTTGTTGACATCGCATATATAAGAAGTTGAAAATGCAACTGGAGTCTTTAATATCTAAATAAATATCCTTGAAGAGTTCAGTTGTATTTTCAACTTCTTTTACCTATATTTTTATCCATATGGGAGATATATATATGAATAAACATCCCTTGTCAGTCTTGTTCAAGTATTATACTTTTTCTTGTATGCCATCAAGTATTTTCTTTTCTGTAATTCATGAGCATAGAAATTGTCCCAATATTTGTTGATTCCAAGCATCTTTAGCTAATAATCTATTAACCATTTTTAAGGGCTTTAGTTACATTACTATAATAAAATAGCTGAGATACCAAATGTTGCCCAGGTGTACATGGCTGCAATTGTATAATCACACCACCCTGTATACCCGTACCCCCCCTGTCTAGAAATGTCTGCCTGTGTCCCCACTTGTATGCATCATCCATTGGTATACTAAGCTACTCCGCTATCATCTTTTTTACAGTATGCCCTCTGCAAGTGTTTGATTATTCTTAATAGAGGAATTTCATCGATAAAACCTTGTGTGGTTGTTGCTCAGGGTTAAATTGTTTCAATGTTTTAAATATTCAGTAAATTTCCTATGGCCACCATAACTTTCAAATAGTATAGCATTGTTCACAAATCTAATAATTAAACAAAAACAGAGATGAAGCATCAGAGAGTGATTCAACTGCAAGTAGAAATGCATGGACTTCCCCTCCTTCTTCGCATGTTTACTGTAAAGCTAGGATTAATAAGAGGTTCTTTAGGATTGTTTCCTTTTAATGCTTCAATAATCCTTCTCAAGTATTCTTTGCATCATTGGTTGTTCAAATACCAATTTAGGATGGATTTATATGAAGAAACTCATGGCTAAATGACAAAAGCCTATTTTAGAACTAGTTTGTCACAAATTTCATCTTCTTAACAGAAATAACCTAAACCAAACATTCATGCAGGACAATTTGTGTTCCATATATAATGTACATGGCAAATTTGGAAAGCATTGCATGAAAAACCAGGAAGTTATGACCAAAAAACGGAATTTTGAACAGTTTTTCATGATTTTTCATTACACACAGAGCATGACTAAAACCACACTATCTTATTTCTTGCATGATAACAAATTTTTGCAAAATGTTTGAAGAAAACTGGATAAAAAATGAGGAAGTTATTCAAGTTTTTATTTTAAGTAGTACAAAAAAAAAAACAAACAAAAAAAAGATTTTTTTTCAATTTTTTGTATGAAGCCAATGTTGCAGGAAAACTATCAAGCACTACATAAACCTCATAACATAAGCTATGTTTTGCATTAAGTGCAAAGAACGTCAATTCATCCAGTAAAAATTTTGTTTACATATAACTATGCCTTGGTTTTTGCAAAAAGTCATACCCACCTTCAGTTTTATCAATTTTTCTGCCAAACCTGAGGGGCCTGGAGATTGAAAAATTGGTCTTGAACTACTTTGCTAAATTTGCCACATGTGTGCACAATTTCATCAAAATTGGCCAAGAAATGTGGACATGCATAAATAGTACACACACAAACATCTTCTGTTTTATAGATATAAAAATAAATGGGTAAAGTGCTATTGTAGATGGTAGAAAAGCTTGTAAACAGTAGACATTCTTAATTTCTAATATATATTGTGGTTGTGTTCATATATGATATTATTCAGTTTTTTTTAATAAGAGCTTTCATTATTTTTAAATGCGATGTCAAATTTAGGTTCTCAAAAAGTATGCTACATACTGAGGTGTAGGGTAGCTGTCTTGGCAGATAAGTGGTGTTTGACATGATTATTTATGAATTTCTGGTGTGTGGGGGGGTCACAATTCCCTATTGGGCATTTGAACTCATAACATTGGTCTGATATAGTTTTGATTTTGCTGATATAGTTTAGAGCTTAAATGTGTGTGTGTGTGTGTGTGTGTGTGTATTCCAAAATTTGGGTACATGTTCTACTTAGAAAGGCAGAAAAGGTTATTCAATAAAACCACTGTCAGACCCAAAGATGACTTTGATGTAGCCTTAGAAGTGACTGCATACCCACACCAGGTGGTTTTTGTTGCCATCATGTCCATGATGGCAGACTTCAAGGAGTCCTACTGCTTGTTCTCACTTTCATCAACTCTCCATGAGACTAGCCAGAAATATTTTTAGATTGTAAGAATTTTATGGGATATAATAATGATTTACCAATACAAGCCCTACTAATTAACCAATGGCTGGGGGTGGGGGAAGAGGTGGATTCATTTCTTTCCAAAGGGTATTTACCCATAAGTGAATATGACTGGAATTGGAACTTGGCTCACTGATTTCCAATTCTGAGCCATTATCCATTACACCTTCTGTATATTCAAGTTTACAACACATGTATTCCCTAGTGGTCACCCATCTAGGTACTGACCTGGTCCAATGTAGCTTAACTTCAGTGATCGTACTATAGAACTGGTGTTTCATCATGGCCATAAGTCTGTATATAAAGGAGATAGAGAGTGAAACTGATTTAGTGGAAGATATTTCTCTTTAATAAATTCTCTATAGATTCGCTTATCAGTGAATTGCCATGCATTCTTATGAGAGAACAGCAGTGCAAAGTTCAGACCCAAAATGTCAAAAATTCTGTGTTGTAATTCTAAAGGTTATACATGAGTCTTGCAAGTTCAAAATCAAAAAATGCTATGGACGTAAATCAAATGGAGTAAAAAAAGTGTTTAACCAAAATTCGCAATGCACAACTACCTTCTTCACATATGAATAACCAAAATATTCTCTTACCATCCAGTAAATGTTCTTTTATTTGGATTCAGAAAGGTTGTGATTGGTCAAGACTGTTAGAGAAATACAAACATTTACCATATTTCAAGGTCTATTAAAGTCAACCCAATCTTGTTTTTTTATTTTTTAACACATAGTACAGAGAATGCAAATTCTCTTTTGAGTTAAAGTTTTTTATTCTTTGTCATCACAATTCTGCAGAAAGATAGTGGAGGAGTTTCCTGTTGCCTTCTCCAGAATTTTGGATTTCAGAGTTTCCCTTTTTCTAGAGTGACTATTACCCAAGTCTAAAGAGCATATTATAACCTGCAATTTAACCCATATCTGGTGGGGTAGTAAGAGATGGATTCATACCTTTCCACATAGGCATTAATACAAAATTCAATGCAACAGATGAACCTAGAATTTGAACTTGGCTCACTAATATCCATTACACTACCCACACATAGTAGACAATATAAAACATACCCATAGATGAATGTTCATACTAATGTATATAGTTATATACACATAAAGATAGACATAAAAATATGTTCATATTAATGTACATATATTTATATACACAAATAATATGTGTGTACACACATGCCTTTTATAGTTCTTGTGTTATATAGAAAATATACCAATTTATTTTTAATCTTAGTTTTTAAAAAAATATTGGAAATACTATCATAAATCTGAAGAGACTTGGTCATATTTAAACTTGAATATGTGGGTCTCTATTCCCCTCCCCCCATTCTACATCTTACTATGAAGTAAATATTTTAACAGCCACAAACATTTCCTTTTGCAAGACAACTACTTAAGAGAGTAAAAAAGAAAAGAAAAAAGAGACAAGAGCAGTAAATGACTGCTATCATAACTTTTAAGAGAAAGCTTAAGCAGATTTTATTTTTCAAACTTTAGTCCCTTTCAATTTAGGAAGCTGATTTACAAATTCTGAAATGCACTTGGAAATAAGATTAAAAAATGTTACTTAAGTGCAAATCTTATTAAAATGCTGACATGATATGAACTTATATAAAAGTCACTGTTGATTTATTTTGTAATGTTAAAGTAAGCATATATAAAATTAACCCCTTCCTAGTATATACATGTGTGTGTGTGTGTGTGTGTGTGTATATATATATATATATATATATATATATATATTATATACACCAAAAGTGTCTTTTACAGACAGACAAAGAAACACATCCAAAACATAACATTCAAAAACCAGTTACAGACATGTTTATATGTTGGTCTTGATTCTTTTTATACCTTTCTGAGCTTGAAACAAGTTCCATTGTCAACTTGTACATCTGTTAGGAGGTGTTAAGCCACTGCTTGGGTACTTCAAGGTGCCTCAGTTTCTTAGTTACTATATTAAAAACAAATAAAAACTGTCTGAAAAGGAAACATTTTTCCCCCCAAATAACTGGCAGAGAAGGAGTTAAGTCAGCCTTGCCTTGATTTGAAACCAAAACCTAGAGGTTTCAATAGACTAGTGATATACCAATACACCAGTGTACTGCTCATATTCTGGTAAATTTCTATCTAATGGGACAATAACCTAGTGGATTAAATCATTGGTTCATGAATTTGGTGACATAGTAGTGAGTTCAATCTCTGGGCCATGTAGTGCAGATATAATCTCAGTGGTAATAGTGATAGAAGAGCAGTACTAAATTTTTTTTTTTTTTTTGAATCATTTCGCCCCAGACAAAGTAATAAAGTGGACAAAGACAACGAGTTATGAGCATGAAAGAATAAGTAAAAGAAAGACATTATTAAAGAGTGAGACCAATAAAAAAGGAGGAGTCAAGATTGTTGCTTACAAGTTCCACCTATAGAATTCTCAGTATACTTCTGCAGAACTACATCTATCATTACCTGTTTTTTTTTCTTCTTCCATGAGAATATTATCCAGCATTCACTGCCATAGCAATTGAGCATCCTATTTTGCTTCTAACAAAATTTTCCTATCTTGTAATAATTTGTTTAACCCCTGGATGGTATCAAATCTAATGCACCTTCAAATTTCTGTGCTACATTTTCCATCATCTCTTATGCTACCCAGCCACTTAAATTTCTGTAGCTGCATGATTTTCATGTCCCCAATACATAACACTCCCTCATTGGGTTGTCCCTCTTGTTAACAACCATACACATTCAGTCTCCTTCTTACATTTGTTAGGAAATGAAAACAAGAAGAAAAAACTATCTTGTGTAGGAGTTCTTGCAGTTTCCTTTCAGAGTCTGCCAGCAAAACTGTGTTGTCATCTTTTTGATCAAAGATTCAATCTATGACATTTCCCAAGGCTAAGTGCTGTAGTAAGAATAAGAAGATTGTATTGTACTGATCATTCAAATGAGGAGAGATGGTCTTTCATTGCAAGTTAACTAAAATATTCACTCTTGGTGCCAATGGCCACTCAGTCACTAATAACTACAAGTTATAAGGTAGTAATTTGCAAACTTGAAAATACTAACTTGAAAAAATAAAAAAAAAATAATAATTTTGATATGGAAGAACATTTAGAATGGAAGCATATACAAATTGATAGAAATAAAAGTGGAAAAATAAAGTTTATGTATACATATAAACTCAATCATAATTCCTGAAAATAACCAATCAATTTCTTACCCTTAATGGAAATGTATACTTACAATGATTTATGTGAACATAGTGATTGATTTGTATATTAAGGTTAATTCTGAAAATATTTTTGGATTGTAAGAATTTTTTGGGAGATAATTATGATTTTCTGATGCAAGTCTTACTATTTATTAACCAATGGCTGAGAGGAAAAGAGGTGGATCATACCTTTCCCAAGTGCTTATGATGAACCCAACTAGAATTCGTATTATTGAGTCTTCTATTTCTCATTCCAAGACTATCTTTTACATCACCAAGCTTACATCACCTGGTATTCCCAAGCAGTCACCCATCTAGGTACGGATCAGATTCAAATGTTGCTTAATTTCGATGATCGGATGAGAACCAATATTTTATCGTAATATGGCCGTAAGACAAACATAAAATAAAAAAACAATAAAAAAAAGTACAAATTTCATAGACATTCCAACTTTTTTTTTAATACTCAGTAATATCTTCCCTTAATTTAAAAAAAGAAAAAGAAAAAGAAAAAAAAGAAAGAAAAAAAGAAAAAAAGAAAGAAAAAAAGAAAAAAGTGGCATTTCTCCTACAAATTTGTTAAGACTTTTGGGGGCGGAAAAGCCATACATAATGTACTTTTTTGCCAAGTAATTTAAATTATTGAACATAAAATTCAAAGTAGTCATTAAAAATAACATAATAAAAATGAAATTTGGTAATTAAAAATAAAACAAAAATAAAAGTTAGCAAATAAAATCATTTAATTTTCATTTATTTTTACACAGAATCAAATCAGGACATGATTTCTCTAAAAATACCAGCTAAAAGGACATGCTTCAGTTTCATGAATATTGTAAGGTCGTCCAGACTTAAAGTGTCTAGGAACAGAACAATTACAATGTCGTCATCACATTTACCAGGAAGGTCCTGCAAAAATAAAGCAGTGGGTCGTTTGTTACTCTTCGCTTGCTAATGATTTTTTTTCTTTTCTTTATAAAGATAAACACGTTGGCAAAACTACATGACCTTCTTTTCTGCTGACAACATTCAAAAAATTTTGTCCAGATGAAAAATAAAAAATAAGATAAAATAGTGATTCCTGGTTGTTATTGGATCTGTAGGAATGTGACAGTTTAAAAAATTTAAAACATAAAAATGAAAAATGACAATTAAAACAAGCACATTTAAAAAAAAAAATTGTTAATGTGCTTCTTCTCCAGTCACTCAAAAGTTAAAGTTTAAAAAAAAAAATCTTCCAGTTAAGTCGACACAAATCATTTCATAAAATAAAAATAAATATGCCGTGTACCTTCAGTACGGAGGTTATGGGGTTCCACACGTACAGTTTCTCTGTGTTACATGACTTGTTTCTCTACCTTCTCCAGTTTTACAGAGTGGTTCTAAACTGGCTGCCATCCAAGGCTCGATAACACAGTCTACATTGGAAGGAGTTGGAATCCAACTGTTGGATTCATGCCTTTTCCTTGGACATTTGTGCTTAAGTGAACGCAACCGAAATTTGAACTTGAGTCACCTATTTCCGTGTCAACAACTGAGAATCCCAACTGGTTCAATAAATTTATGAATGTGAATGTTTATACGACAGTGAAAAATCTGCCTTGTTAAAACAAAATAAAATATAGAAAAAAAAAAAAAAGTAAAAATTTAAATAACAATGTTTCGTAAGCTTACATTTAGGAAGAACGTGTTTTATGCCAATCGTAAAAAAACATGTGACAGAGGATCTGGTTTGAATCGATGAAAGTGCAGACTTTTTTTTCTTTAAAAAAAAAAATCAGAGATAGAACAGTAACACCAACCTCTGGTGTAGTAAATTTTTCAACTATGACGATCACAAATGCTTATTTTAAGTTTTAAATAACTTAAAATAAGGGGGTGACGTTGTACCGGAGACGGTTTCTGTTTTACGAGTCTTTTAGCTTGTTCGGTGTTCGAGTCCAGCCTCAAGGATTGGATTTCGAATGCTGATTTCAAAGTCGGCAGGTTCTTCTGACTTAATAGATTGGTACAATACAGTCTTCCTAACACCCTTTCATCTGGTGCCAAACTTTCTATCAATCTAACTGG